AATTTTTTAAAAAAAGAAAAAAAAAAAAAAAAAAAAAAGACATGGAGGATACAATGAGAAAGTCTAACCCGGAGGAGATAACAGAGAGAATGGGTAAGAGGTAATATATGAAGAGATACAAATTGAGAATTTTCCAGAGTTGTTGAAAGATACAAAACTTCGCATCCAGGAAGCCCCCAAAAATTCCAAGTAAAAATAGAAATCTATCCCGAGACACACCATAGTGAAATTACCCAATCCCACAGGCCAGAGAGAAAAGATGGATCACTTAAAATAAAGGAATAGCAATTAGGCTGACAGCCAACTTCAAAATAGTAACAACGGGAGCTTGGAGACTATGCAACCTAGCTAAGCTTTATAACTTGAATGCACTTAAAGGAAATAACTGTAAACCTATTATTCTAAACAGTGTCTGAGAAAACAATAAACACATTTTCAGACAAATAAGAACTGAAAGAAGAGATCTTCAACTACAGGAGATTTTAAAAGAATGCACTCAGAGGAGAAAATTATCCCAGATGAAAGGTCCTTAAAACAAGACGGGATGGTGAGCAAAAATACTGGTAAATATACAGGTAAATCTATACACACACTGATTGCAAAAAAAAAATAGTAAAAAATTCTCATTTGTGCAGTTAAAATATGTAAGTATAATACTTGACAACAATAGCACATAAATTGGGAAGGGGATGAATGAAGTTAATGCATTCTAAGTTCCTTGAATGTTCTAGAAGGGAATTAAAGATATTCATTTTTGACTTTATTACATATACATACTAAAATATCTATGATGACCAATAAAAGAACATATGTAGAGAGTAGCAAAAGGAAAAAAATGGAATGAAGTGAATCTCCATGAATATTGAAGGTCACTAAATTCCTTAAAGCACCAGAACATGAACTCTGCCTCGGCACACCAAATTCAAGTGGGCCAGCTGCCTGCTGCATCCTCTCGGCTGGACCCCGTGTCTGATTCTGCCAGCTCCACCCCACCTTGGTCTAAGCTTTATCCACACTGCTATGTCATATTATTCATAAAAAGAAATCTTCACTATGAGAAAATCTAAGTCCCCTTTCAAGTTTCATTACCTTCCTATTTTATTTCTTCGCCTTCTAGGAGAGGAAGGAGGTAAAACGAAATTTGGACTAAGCAAGAAAAACAAGCCTAAAATTAAACTCAGGCTACTCGACAACAAGCCTGCTTTGATGAAAGCAGTCAACTAAGTGCCTTCAGTTTAGCAGCCTCTATTCAGGAGTGCGGAGAGTTGTTTTATAGAATTGTAACTGAAGAGGACACTGAAATGTCCTGGGGTTTGGAAGGACAGCACCAGTTGTTCAATGGCAGGGGAGAAAGCTCCATATAGATTTTTGGAAACAATGTGAAATCTTTATTTTTTTTAATTTAATTTAATTTAATTCTTTCTTTTGCAGCT